TGGGGGGGGGGGGGGAAATCGTGCTCCTTTATTCTATAAACCGTTGAAGTGACTCGGTGCGCCGACTGGATATTGATTTCAAGTGTTCTAGGGTCGGCATTTCGTTTGCTGCATGCCAATTACCAGGTTCTTTAAGCTCCTTGAGCGAATTCCATGGAACAGATTCCCTCTTGAGTACTTACAGCTACTCAAGAAATTCCGTGTCTTTTACTGAGACCGAAGTTTTACTATCATGTGTACAAGAGCCCACCATCGGCCTGAATCCCCAGTCAGATGAGTCCAATCCACGTCTCCATGGACACGTGAAGTGACAGCAAACATATATTTTACGAAAAATGTTCTGGCTTAGTGGACTGTTGAATTATCAAGTGGCTCCAGGGAACCAATAAGCACAGATGCTTCGATTCTTGGACGGAGCACTGTTATTGTGATATACTTTGTTCGTCTTCTTGATTGATATGCTTGGATTAGGTGATGACGCTGCTTTTAATGTAGGCGTTATGCAAGTAACCTGTAGCATCGAATGAGATGATTAATAATGTGATTGGATAAGAATTTGGAAGGATATAGTTGTTCTTTAGGGAACTGTCTCGACATTCGCATATGGAGAGCAAGGAACCCCTTTCAGGACAGCCGATAATAGAGCCCACATTTTAACTGGGTGTTTCGTACACCGGAAAATTACCTTGAAATTTATACATCTTTCGCTTGAGTTGTGTAGCACAAACACTCTGTCATACAAAGCCTTACTCACAGTTGTTTTGACCTGTGTAGTTGTGACAGGCGAGTGAGTAAAATTTCCTCGGCACCTCTGTCAGTGAACAATATGTATAGTTTAGAAAGCGTCGTTAAATACAGCTAAGAAACACTGCTTATTAAAACGAACCATCCATTTCATGACAGGGAAGTGGCATGGATATTACCGAAATTAAAATAAACAAACTTGTCAGCGAGTTTTCTAGACAGGGCAGCCATAAATTAAACGCATAGGAGTGTCCGCACCTTCGGCTTAGGCGCGCGGTTGGGGGTGAAAGAAAAACTCTTTGTTCATCATGTCACGATGTGAGAGGCGGGTTGCCTGCTTACCTACGTTGTATAACGGCAGAAGTGGAATTTGGCGACACTTGAATTTAATTAGAGAGGAATGTGGTGCTACCTAGCAGAAATTCGTTAACTTTACGTCGCTACTATCTTCAGTTTAAAATGTTTCATTACGGACCTAAACATTACTGGGGATTTGGGGATTTAACATTCAATTACGTTCTCTCCTACCAAGGAGATTCTACTTAGAGACACTGGAAGACCTGATAGTGTGCCCTGCTGCCTGTATTGACCGTTTTAGCTGTGCTTATATTCAGTCTCCAAAGACATACCATAGCCACACACGTCAAAGCAATCCCTTACACAAAACAATGTATAAAGCCAAATTAACCATCCATCAGCATTGATACGTATGACTCTAGTTTATTTTACAGTTAGTTTGGCTAATATGATTTGATATATATTTACAATTCTGCGAATTCATGTAATACGCACTGACCGTCTTTTCTTATGGATCAGTCATAATTAGTTAGATAGATCTTTCGACAAAAGTCGAAGTACTGTCGGCATTACTGTCCAATGCAAATTACAAGCATGTAGAGGTACTTCCATCTCGAAGGTACTTCACCTGCCACCGTGTTTATACTGCCAGTGACAGATAATTAAGAAGTGCGAAGAGGTCACAAACATACAAACCGATCTTTCCTTATGGATTCAACTAAAGTATCTTGTAAGTGTTCGCAATTTAGGTGTACATAATTAACATTTATTAATAATCATCAAGTTCTGGTTTAATAACGCAGAGAAAGTTCTGTATTGCTTACAATTGAAGACCTTTTTGAGACGCTTGGCATTTATCGCTGTCGCAAGTACCGCGTAAAACTCAATTTTTCCTTGTCACGTACGCAGTCTAGAGTGGCTGGACGCACTGCTTATTAGCGTCGGGGAGCTCGGCAACAAGACGCTCTCATGTGATTGGCTACTTTTTCTTCTTCATCTCCTCTAGAGAACAGAGTTTGTACCCAATTACGTCTCAACCATATCGGTCCATGTTACAAGGGAAGTGTATATTGTGTTCAATGGTAACATTTTGACTTTATATTGTTTTTTCCCCGCTATCACTGTATTAGATTGTGATGCGGAGAGAAGTGTTTGTGATGCATTTTGTGCAGACTGTTTGTCTGTTGAAAGAAACGATAAATACATGACTGTAAAATTTAAAAGCGACACATGCAAATGTTGCATTGTATTTATATGGGAAGATTTATGAAACAACCATTGGGGCTGCTCTGTGTATAGAGATGTTTAGGGACCGAATGGTAAAGTTCCTAGTTCAAATCTCTGCACAGAGACCAGCTATTCTGACTGTTCTTTTTATGATTTCTGTCAGACTCCCCAGGTAGTACTGCATTAGAGTAGGCCACGACAGGTTTCTTCCACATCCTTTCCAATTTATTATTTACTGATCATCCTCTCATTTGACTCTATAAAATCTAAGCTATTGACAGCAATGCAATCAAACTTTACTCTGAAATAGGTTGTAAGCAGAAAGCCTGGTTCACAATGAACAGACATCCGCGTTACTAATGGTGTAATAGTTTTATAACAGCTTTTTAACAGATTAAACAATATAAAATTAAAATTCGTACGTTTCTCTTAATGGTGGTATAACTAACTCATCAGTATTCGCGTCATGTTTTCAAGTTTGCAGTAATCTGTGTGCACAAACTAATGGTCCTTTAAGTGCACGAATATGACATATATTGAGTTCCAGATCTGAATTCCATCTGCTAATACTGAGACAGCATGACAGGTCCTTGAGAATTAGATAAACATATATGCTGTCAACGTAAAAATTCTGTTTATTAAACCAGTGTAAAAATCGTATAAATAATGTACAGAACTTTGTATCCGAAATGTACCTCCTAAAGTCCAGCACTTTTTATTGACTGGCTGGTTTAATTAACACTTATTTGCTGTTTTATTATTTGATTTTTGCAATGTCAGTAATTTGAACTAATCTTTTTTTCCAAGTCAAAGTGCTGTTCTGAAGATTTGTTCTAAGGAAACGCAAAACCTCCGATTGACTGACAAACCTTCCATTATAATTTAATTTCCGTAATACGTGTCCCGTCATTCTCT